CAATTACTCATTCTGTTTCACGCTTATACTTGTCAAAATTCTATTGATTCTCTTCACTCATCTTCTTGTCCACCTTTGTGTGCTATTTGGAACGTGGCAACTCGAACTTCTGCACTTCGGTGCCAAGTTCTATGTTGAATCCAGACAAATAGACAGTCAGCAAGGCACACCTGCAACCTTGAAGGAACTCATGTCCCTTCTGAGATTTGAACCCCCGCGTCACGCAGTGCCGCCTTCAGTCAGAGACGTTACCACTGATCCATTAGGGCTCGCGATTGACTTATTGATTGTAGTGAACTGGATAATGCAACAGGTCCTGAGGAGCGGGAATACAGAAATACATTGGATTGACAAGAAGACTGTAGAAGCTTTTGACCTCGTGGACAGTTTATATCTAATGCCGCACAAACTAGAAGATCTGCAGGCGAAAACCAACAAGTTGGTAGAAGAAACAGAGAAGACAGGACTTCAGGTGGACATATGGAAGACAGAGGTGATGAAGATACCCGATCAACGACAACAACAACAAGCACTCTTGTTTCAACTACAGGCAATGGCACAGATGAAGATGTCAAAGGCAAGATCAGAAAAGCTAGATACACATCCATTACTCTGAAATCGGTGTGTGGAAATCTGTTGCAATCAGCATAAAGAACGATATTCGGATTTCAACCCTAATGTGAAAGCAGTGCTTCTCTATAGTTCAGAGACTTCATGTGTCACTGAAAGCATTTCCAACAGGTTGCTGTAGATTTTCATCAACATCTGCCTCCACTTGATACTGAAGATGAGATAGGCAGAAAGGATAAGCAACAAGAACCTCTAAGAATGAACTAAATAAGAATCTGACGACGGAGACAGAGATGGATTGAACACAAGCTGAAAAGATCGTTGAATTACATCGCGTTTCAGGCTCTCACGTGAAGCCCAAGTAATAAATGGTGAGTTGGGCATCCGCAGGTGACATAAAGGAAATGGCAGCTTATAGGTATTCGTTACACCAGCCAAAGATGACTGCAGAAAACTGGATGAAACGGAGATGTGCTGCTGAAGCCTTATATTCCACACGGAACACAAGGACACAACAATAATCCTGAGTAGATTCTATTCTTAGTGTTTCTCAGCAAATAAAGGGACTAATCATTTCACTGTCATGTCTTTACTGGCTCATGGTGCTGGTAATTCATTTCATAACTTCTATACTACCTTTTTTAATGCTCAATAACTAATAAACATACGTTTTTTCCCCAGGTGGATTGATCAAGTGTTGAAACCCAATGAAAACTCTGGTATATCACCCTTTCCAAATCTATCAAAACTCGACTTGAGCCAAAAACCTGATACAGGTTGTTTTTCTGGTGGGTTCACTGAGATTTTTTTATCCCTAAAATTTACTTTCTCTTACTTCAGTTCATGCGCAAACATTAAACCCAGCAGATGATATTTTAACACAATGGCGTTTACGTCGTCGAATGGAACAAGCGAGATTAGAAATTTCCAATGACAGATTTCATAAAACAAGTGGATATTTACAATCTGCTACACCGTCTATGAATACTAATGTGCTGTTGTCTCAATACTCTCATTTTCCTAGTCAAGTGAGAAGCGAAATTTTTTTACATAAATATTCACTGATGAAGGTATAATTGATTTGTTTATAATTCGATAAGTATTTCATTATTCTAGGCGTGAGTGTCATATCCAGAATACTCTCAGATTTTTTATCACCTTGATTAAAAAGTGATTAAACTCACACTGTGAATTAATCAATCACACGTCCAATCGATATTATAAATACAAAATTCTATTGTGGATCATTGTAGCACGACTTGTATTGGTATAACTGGTGTTATTATTATTTGTCACTCCGACGGATAGCTGCTACCTGCATATTTCAATGACTCATAGAGCTACAATGTCTGGAGTTTGTAAATCTCAGGTAAAAATCGTACCACTGGCGAACAGAAATGCAAAAGCACCAGCAACCCAGCTATACCGCCTCTACGCTCTTCAGAGTAGGGTTAGAAAAGCTCGACCCCGAAAATGTTGCATCCTAACTTACCTTGTAGTTGTCCCCAGTTGGTAGTAGTAAGATCTTCATACGGACACAACACCGAAGACAGTCTTAAACATGCCTCGGGCAGTTGTCCTATACGCTGTTCGTTCATACAACTCTAATGCTCCTCTTGTTTAAAGTATTTAAATGATTTTTTTCTTTTTGAATTAAGCATCGTTTGTAATTTTAGCGAATACACTGATAGTCGTTTTATTACAAACCAAAAGAAAGCCGAAATTATAACCACAGTTTAACTATGAGTTACACCCACCGTGTGTGAGGTCATATGAAAATTCTCAAATCAAAGCAGTTCGATAGAATTTTAATGTCTATCATTGCAGTAATTAATTGGATTTAGAATTGATGTAATACAATTCTATCTTCAGTCTAACTTTATTTTTATTTGATTCTATTTATGAGTAGATATAAGCAACCTTTCATTCTGTTTTCTATCCTACCTTTAAAAAACAAATGTAAGAGGCAATGAAATTATTCTTCGCATATTCCCATGATATAAAATCGTAGATTTTAAGCACAATATGACCTCATAAAGAAATGTTAGCCACTTAATTTAAGGCGTTAGCATTTACAACATACAGACCCTATATTAGCCTAATGTATGGCAGTACTATGTACACTAGTTCAAGTTACCACAGCACCCCATATGTGACAAATCAAGTAGAAGGTAAAAAAAAGAAACAACATGAAGACAGTAAGATGAAGATAACCCAATGAAAAAAATGGAGACTATAGTGAAACAAAGTGCAAATAGAAAGAATAACATTCACAACAATAGCACTTACAACATTCGTCTAAAGATAGCAACATTTGTTTGAATGTATTTCATGTAGTACTACTAGAATCCTCATTAACCTAAACTGTCAAGTAACACTGTGACCCTAACAAATAAACCAATATGAATTGTTGGGAATCATTCATTTCAATCTAACAGATATTTTGAACAAGCGAATTCAGGGTAAAAGCGAGGGAATGAAAATCAATCAGTTTTCGAAGAGGTAATCGGAGAGTATTGAATCTCATCTTTAAGTTTCTTTTGTCACAGTCACAGCAGAACACACGATATGGGGTTGGCGATGAGCCACATCTGTTGTGTGAGGGTTATTGATACTACATCACTCACTGCCAAAACATCGGAAGGTGGATCGCGATTCCAACACATGACCCACCGGTTGGAGATTGGGCGCCTACACCAATGAACCACAGCCTCACTTTCAAACAGTCAAGATTTACTAGAATAAATCGAATCGCATTCATTTCGCTACAATCATCAAGCACAACTTGATAAATACACAAACAAACTGACAAACAACTTACGCCTACACTGCGACTGCCGAAAAATGCGATATCATTATCCTCGTAAAGTGCATCATTTCCACAGCTTCCACGATATGCAATCATTTCATTCGAATTAGTCCCACCGAACTGTTTACCAATTTGATAATTATGAAGTGGTGATTGAAACGAAATCATGCAAAGACCACGAGATAGTAACATTTCCTCCAGTAGATATTGTAGACCATTGGGATTTCCAGCCAACAGTTTTGTGTTCAAATTTGGTAGAATGTAAGGCATAACAGGTATAAGGCATATCAAGTTACTTGATATGATTATGAGCAATAGTTTGTGCTCGAAACGTCATCAGTTAATATTACTGTATAACACTGTGTGATTTCAATATATTAAATATTCCCATAGTAAAATTTAGAACAACACATTTAAGCGAACAATATTGTTTTCAGTTAGATCTCATCAGGCTTAACTCTAATATATATAAGTTTACAAATAAAAATTCAAATATAAACCAATCATGGTGTTTTGTCTATAGGATAATACGATGGTGAATATAAATTGTGCAATTAGTCATAACAGTAGTAATGATAATAATAATAATGGTCTTATCAATAATAAGGATGAAAAAGTGAGGCAATCTGTGATAACACGAATAATGAAAAACAGCATGATTAAACAAACAACTGTTCAGGTGGAAGTAGTCGATAAAGGCTAGTAAAAACAAATGAACCCATTAAGTAATGTTAGATTGTAAGGGAAGGAAATGAAACACGTTTATAATGAAGATGGGATAAGATTAAGGGATGATAAGAAAGGGGTTGAAAATATAAACAAAGGGTGGTGTAGAAGTCATTAGTTGCTTATGTCTTAATAGGCCAAGGGAGGGATAATGGCTGTACGAACTTTTTTTGAATACATAGTTTAGGTTTAATAGTTCGAATGACTATCGCCTCAGCTGTGTGCAGTGGACGAATACGAAGTCTATTGGAAAGATTCGGTGGGATACGATGAATTACCTTGAAGGCTTTCGTTTTCTCGATTACATGACCACTATCAATTAAGCGTGACAAAATTGAGCTACGAATTGTTTTTGTCTGTCCTTTACCAAACCACGATGGGAGATGTTCACTAACACGTTGGCTAAGCTGTCTAGTAGTAGGCCCAATATCAAGTATCAAGTATGATTTATCAAAATACAATCTTATCCATTAAGGAGAACCTTCATTCCTTCTTTTTGATCCACTTGTAACCTCCTCTCTTTAAAAAAAAAACACATTTATCGTAGATTTTTATCAGGTGAAGAAGTAATTTATGCAAATATATAAAAACAACGTGTTGTGTGACTAAATTTCAGCCTCTTTGAAGCGGCGACTACAGTGTGGTTGAATTTGTGACCTTTTTTTCTTTAATTCTTCTTCTTTTATTTAATCTTTTGTTTAGTGAAAGCAAATGTTTTAAACATTTTCTGTGAATCATCCTTTTCTCTCTCTCGCGTGATTAACAAATGGAAATAAGTAGAACATTAGAGACTATGAAAATTGGTAGTGAACAGCTTATGATCTCTGTTTAAATAATTAACCTATCATAAGAAAGAATACTTATATATATATATATATATATATCAATTCTACTGCTTGGTTTTATTTAATTGCGATCACTACTCAACTAGAATGATGGATAGAAGAGAATATCAACTGTTTCTAAGAGAATCCAATCTAGAGTTTGATGTAAAAGTGGAAATTGAGAGTAATTGTGGCACAAATTTGGATAAGTATATGTTAAACAAATTAAATTATTATGATTATGACCGTAATACTACTCCATTCGATCAGTATAAAAACCCAATCCGATTTCGATCAAAATCTTCATCGCCATCATCATCACCTTCACAATCGATACAGAGAATGTCACCTAAACCTGTTATGCCTTATATTCTGCCAAATTTGAACACAAAATTGTTGACTGGAAATCCCAGTGGTCTACAATGTCTACTGGAGGAAATGTTACTATCTCGTGGTCTTTGCATGATTTCTTTTCAATCACCACTTCATAATTATCAAATCGGGAAACAGCTGGGTGACACTAATTCGAATGAAATGACTGCATATCGTGGAAGCCGTGGAAATGATGCACTTTACGAGGATAAAGATATCGCATTTCTCGGAAGTCGCAGTGTGGGCGTAAGTTGTTTGTTTGTCTATTTACTAATTTGTGCTTGATGATTGTAGAGAAATGAATGAGATTCGATGTATTCTAGTAAATCTTGACTGTTTGAAAGTGAGGCTGTGGTTCATTGGTGAAGAAGCCTAACATCCAACCGGTGGGTTATGTGTTCGAATCGCTATCCACCTGACGACGTTTTGGTAGTGAGTGATGTAGTATCACTAACCCTCACACAACAGATGTGACTCATTCCCAACCGCATGGAATTGCAAGTGTTTGTTCCGTAACACTTCTTCACTGCAGTTTGTTTTCTTGAGACTCACCCTACCGAATATAGTAAAATAATCATCGACAAAGTAAGAATATAAGGAGGAAATAAAATTCAAAGTACTGAAACATAAATACACAAACCGGGGAAATGAAGCCTGAACAACTCAGTTTACTAAACATTCGAAAGCTAACAGTAACAATAAATAGTTGTTTCTAACCAAATGGAATTTAGAGCGAATTAGTATTGAGTAGGTTTGAAGAGTCTCAAGATTAATAGATGTAGGTAGATTTTTATTTGTACAAAATAAAACTATTTGATTTTTCATGTGAGAAATAAAAATGTATATCTTAAGAAAAATCAAATGATCAATTTTCACTCATGTGGTGAAAAATTAGACTCACATTTTTAAGTAGTTTACATGCATAGCGTATTCAAGTGGAACAGAGTTACTATGCCTCAGTGAAGTTATCTGCCGTTGTTTTGCATTAAGGATGAAGTTAGAAGTTTTCGAACTGCATTTGGAATTTACTGGTTGAAGGTTTTCCTTCGCTTATCTGAAAGTCCATTACATTCGCTTTGATGTACTTACCTTTCATTATTATAATAAAGATTTTTGTATTTCCCAATGAATGAAAAAACAAAACGATATTGTTTTTACTGACGTTTCGCTATTTAATGCTAATAGCTTTATCAAAGTATTATTAAACCGGAATTTAAATAGTACATCTATTATGGTATCAAAACAAGGTTTACTAACTTGATCATCGTTCGTTAGTCTGGGGGCATTTTTCATTGTCCAATTGGTAAAGATAACAAAATCAAGTGTAGATTGTTGGATTTGATCAGTGTTTAAAATTATAAAGGCAGTGTGTGTTTACATAGTGAACTTGCATATCACATTCGTGTTGATTTTGTCACTTCATGGGGGAGGGGAGGGAGGTGTTGTAACCAGGTCAGATTCTGTTTTAGTCCATCATTCCTTTTCAGGCAATTTGGATTCCAATTGATATGAAGTGCTTCTGATATTAGACGTTCTTTGTGATTTCTGAAGTTTTTCTGAATTATTTCAATATTGTCAAAATCAATTTTGTGGCCTGATTCTATAGCGTGTAGACCTATGGCTGATGATTTTTCAAGTTTTTCTAGTTCAATTGGATTTCTCGATGGTCGAAGAGATGCTCTACGGTGTTCATTCCTTCTGATTTTGATTTCTCTCTAGCGATGTTTGTCCGATGTATATCGCATCAAATTCCCAGCAAGCATTTTATTTTATGGACACAATTAGATAGAGAATCTTTAGGGATTTGGTCTTTTATATGGACAAGGTTGTTTCTTAGTGTGTCTGATGTTTTAAAGAAAACTCTAACGTCGAGCTGATTGAGTACTCTTCTGATATCATCTGACGTGTCTGCTCTATATGGAATGCCGACTGTTGACGTTCATGTTTTCGGAATGTGTTTTCGGCCATACTTAATGCCTGTGTTGATTTTGTTGATGAAGTCCCTTGGGTAGCTGTTTTGCTTCAGGAGAGTTTCAGTAATGTTTGATATTTCTTCTTCTTTTTCTTCCTCATCCGTTATCAGAGAGTGTGCTCGTCTGAGAAGACTTGAAACAACTGAAATCTTTGCGTTGATGGGGTGTGATGATTTGAAGTGTAAATATTTATTGGAATGGGTTTTCTTTCTGAATATGGATATACTAAAATGTGCGTTTTCCCTTCTCTTAACTAGGCAGTCTAGAAATTGTAGTTTAAAATCGTTTTCTCTCACATTTTCCCCTATAACATTTGACTTTCTTCATATATCATCGTAAAATACGACAACCGAACCGCTATAAGGTGTCTAGGAAGTTGCATACTATTGTGATGGTGAATTTGTGAGCATATTAAAATTATGTAAAAACTAGTCAAGATAATGTACTAAGTTTATGTCTTGTTCCCATTAATGAGTTGAAAAGTGCAAGGCTTTCACCAGTGGTTGGAGAATGTTAGTGATATGGCTGCAAATGGTTGTCAATGGCGCAGATACATTCACTCTGTGTGATTTCCCATATGCCTTAAACCCTCATGTTAACATGAACTACGTTTAGTGTGGCCACTTGGACTGCTGCCCTTTTGCGCAAAGTCGTATGCTGAAACCCAGACAGTTGTAAGGCGTTGACCTACACTATATTCATGCGAATGTGTCTTATTGGTTTAAACATTAGACTTGTGGTGAGAGCTGTCTACTAGCCAAATTGGTAGACAGTAATTTACATCAATGTTTACGTTCCCAAGATTTGTCGTGAGAAAATGTGAACAAAGATTAATTCAAAACCGACCACAGCAGACTTTGCGTAGGCGGATGCAGTTAACATATAGAGGAGTTGACATTCAAGAAACAGTCAGTCAAGAGATGAAAGATTAACTTTACGTGAGAAACAACCAATCGGAAGACTGTGTTTGTTTACTTAAATATCCATAGTAATGTACATGCAAATATATAAATATGCGTTGATTTCCTTAATAAATGAATTGTTGCCTGACCCTTGCCTTATGTCGTTACAGTCTTCCAGCTGCTAATTCCTGGGTTCACATCATATTTCACTTATTTCGGCACTATCAGGAATTTTGAATTTTAAAGTTTTATAACTAAATCAACGATTATCAGTTTTTATTTGTTTAAGTTAACTTGTACTTCCCGTTGATTGATTATATTGGTCCTAAATGTTTGGTGTCTGATGACACGTAGGCCGCCACTAGAGACACTGTGTTCGAGTCTCACTGGGAACACCATTATCCGTTGAGGAAACAGGTACATCCGGATGACGAATTCCAAATAGGACAAAATGCTCGCATTACTATTCTCCTGGTAAAATAAACCCTTTTTAAAACTGTGTTATGTGCGTCGGTGGTACAGAGGTAGAAAGCTTACCAATCACGTATGTGGTCCGGAGTTCGATCCCCGGTCGATGCACTCCTCTACTATGCTAAGCCAGTAATAAGACTGGTAAAGAGGGAAGGTTGGTCATGAGGCCAGCAACTCCATCCTGTTAAAAAATAAACACCACTGCTACCGAAACTTCAAGCCTCTAGTTTGCAGCCTTATGTTCCACTGGGAACGTAAAGGAAAATTATATTTAGAAACTATGTAATAGGTTCAGTTCTACCTAGTCATCTCCTTTGTGTCATTCATAATTATTATAATCCACACTGTCATATTGTCACCTGGAGAAAACAAAAACCTACTTCAATAGAATTCATTAGTTTTATCAGTTCTTTCTGAACTCGTCCCCCGGATATGCCTAATATACTGATACTACCCATGTAGCACAAAAATTACCTGAATGAGACTATCAACCTCACTCAGTAAAGAAAACAACACCGCTGCAACTGTAACTTCTAAAAAGTGCTTCAAGCTCTATGTTCCATGTCTACACACAAGCAGTTCCTTATGTGTATACATTGCACGATTTGCAATAAATTGTAACTTGAAGTATTTCCCTAGAAAGCTGAGTTGTTATTTGTTCATTTTTTAAAAATTTCATTAGACAAGACTGATGACCAATAGTCCACCACCATTATGCCTACCACCAGCTCAATCAATTAGACCGCTTCCAACTAAGGTATACATCAGAGATGTCAGTATTCAGTGTGATATTACACAAAAATATTCAATGAATGAATCACCGATTCAGGCAAAGAAAAATCATTCTAGTGATGCATCAGTCGACTGCAAACCAAGTGATATGGTGAAGAAGTAAGTTGGATTTTTATTGTTGTTTAATGATGATGTTGGTGATGAATAATATGAAACTTTGTGTATTTACTTATCGAATATCTCTTGAATTGCTGTTTGAAAAGAATATCGACTCATAGAGCGACTGTATATATTAACTGCTCTATGGAAACCTCCCGGAGTGCAACACAGCACAGCATACCTTGGAAAATGCGTCTTGTAAACAGTTGTCAGCAGTTTTTTTCTTTCCTTCACGTTCCCAGTGGAACATAGGGCTTCAAGCTAAAGGCTTGAAGTTTCTATAGCAGTGTTTACTTTTACAGGATGCGGTAGTTAGCCTCATGCCCAACCTTTCCTCTTTACCAGCCTTGTAACTGGCTTAGCGAGGTAAAGGAGTGCACCGGCCGGGGATCGAACCCTGGACTATGTGCATGGTTGGCGAGAGTCGTAACCGCTGTGCCACTGACGCGTTGTCATCAGTTACGGAATTTAATTCAAGTAGGACTGTCAACTAAATGCCTGCAATAACTTTCGAAATAAACTGGCGAGTCTCCTGGTTTGGCAACCACTTTACACACCAGGTTGCTCTAATTCAAGTAACACTGAAAGCCAGATAACTTGTCACTGATCTCCTTCCATCAACTATTGGTTTTATTTATCCCTTCTTGTCAGAAAACGGAATTTGTTTGCATAGCATAGTCTGAGGTCGAAGATAAGTAGTTCCTTTGGCTTGAACGTTTTATCTTTATTTGGTCCCAGGTTTAAAGCCGACTTCTAATATTTCAGTAGGTATCTTTAGCCTTCATATATTAGATGTGATCCATAGCCTAGTATGTTGTTAAACTTGTATACAACATTTATGATGTATTTTTTTTCAAAAATGTATCGTATCACAGATACTAGTTACAAATAAATTGTGTTTAACTTCTTTTGAATAAAAAGTATAAAAGCAATTCAGTATTATTCGTTCAAAGATTCTGACAAGAGTTAACCGTACACAGCACGTGATTATGTAAGTTGAAAAATAACTGATATGTAAAAGAGCTTATTGTTAAGATAAATCTTTATTAATCAAGATTTATAAAGAATCAACTGTGAAGCCATTTTGTATTGTTTTACTATTCTTCTAGTCAAGATACTTTAGAAATCATATTGCAATGTGGAAACTGGGTTGAAACTCAATGGATGACAGACGCATGAACATGAGACTTTATACAAAAGTACATTAGTTTAAGTTGTCACACTTTAAAACAACACTCTTAGAACAAATGAATAGTAAAAAAAATAATGCTACACTCAACATATATTATCATGTTAAGAGAAAGAATACTACAATGGATGCCGTACCACTAAGCCTATCAAACCATTGATCCTTTATATACCAAATATCACTGTCCAGCATGGCTGGGGACAAAAGTCACAGACTTCGTGTATTGATACCGTGTTTTATCCTGATTATTCTTTAGTTTCATCTAAGATACTTCTATATCAGTTAACGCATTGTTCCCCTAGGAAGACAGTGGCATCACATGCCATAACACATCTGTGACACATTAGTTGGTGGAGATTGGCAATCTCGTCGACTAGCTAGTGTAACATTCTACAAAACAATCCCGACATTATTCACTTTGTGATCCGATTTTACGCAATTAATCTGGTTGTCATGGTCTTTCAGCCGCAGTAGCAGTTACTTTGTAGTTTACTGTTATTATACCCTCATTATGCTAATAAATTAGTAACATTCACTACCTTTTATCTATTGGTCTGGATACCTTTTTCTATTTTTTTACTGCTTTTAAAGATCAGATATGCATGAAGTTGAAATTATGACAAATATGCCAGCGATCAAATCACCCCTGAGAACAAAACAAAAGTCTGTCCGCCTTATGGTAAGACCACATTCAAGAAGTGTGAAACTTCAAACACCATCAAGCCTGGCGTCATATAATCCAGAAAATAAACCGATTAAAGTAAGTTAAAATATATTTGCATTGCTTTTTTTTAAAAAAAAAAAGAATAGTGTCCAGAAATAATCTTGCTTTCGAGGACGAAAGCAATTTTACAAATTACCAGCCCATTTTGTCTGGTCTTTTTTCTCACAAATTAACATTACTACTCATAATCATATTGTTCGGATTGTGAATTTATTGCATCATACTGTATAATGGTTCACAGTTGTGAAGTGGTGTAATAAGTTGAGCAATATTGAGGTTAGGCGTCGAGTGCTAGGCAAGGAGGGGAAGTCAATCGACGAGGCTGTGAAATTACATCGACTGAGATGATTGGGACATGTGTTCCGTATGCCTAGTCATCGCCTTCCTTGACGGGCAATGTTAGCTGACATAGGGTCAGGCTGGAAAAGAGCTAGCAGCGGTCAAACGAAAACATGGCACCAGTCAATGAAATACACAACAGTTAGTTTAAGCCAGTCACGTGGGAAGATATAGACTTCCTGGTTGGGGTCCTTGGGACGGTAAAAACCAATGCAGGCTGGAAACAATTGGTGATATGGCTCAAAATCGTTCTCAACGGCTGGAGAAGATGCATCCACTCCTTGTGACTTATGATTTAAAATGAAACTGTTTGGTTCTTCGTTATTACTATTCCTTTGTCTCACACCTCTGTTTACTGTCTATATTATGCATTTCTTCTCTTGCTTTGTGTGCTACATGGAGTTTGGCGACTTGAACTGCCGCACATCGGTGCAAAATTCTATGTAGAAAACAGACAGACAGATAGTTGTTCAATTTATTTGTGTAATTTTCGTTTAACGGCAGATTGAAGTAGGTTACAGCTGCAACTATGACTGTATTGATTACTTCCAGAAATGACTTCTGATATAGTCAACACTACCTTACAGATTATGTTATTTTGCTTTGATTGGGGTTCATTCAACGAACAGGTGAATGATGCTCACAGTTCAATGAAAACAGTCCTGTTCGGTCTTATTTTTCTAGATGTAACCATTTCAAACATTTGATAGTGTGGAATATTCACATATTATGAATTAAAAGTCAATCTAAACGAAGAATATTCTTTTCAATAATTTCTCTTCAGGTTCTTACAATTATAATATATAATATTTATTGGCGTTACAATAATGGCCAGTTATGCGGCAGATACATTTTTAACGTAGAATAACAGATTAGTTATGGGTGTCAAAATAAATAGTCGTATTTGTGTGACAAACGTGCCCTGGGCTGAATTCGATTACAAAATATTGTGAAACGGGAGACAATGGTGGTGATTAATCATAATACATTTGTAGAGTGTGGGGTAGGAAAATTGACAAGTCAGTTCAAGGTTACAAAAGGTGTCAGGTGAGTGGCTAGTACAAAGTGGTCTGTGTTAAACAGGAGATAGTAAGACTGCAATGAGATGTTCATAATGAAATAACGAATATGTGAAATGAAACAGGTGGAGGCATATATTGAGAAAAGAGATAATATCACTAATAATAAGTCCGGATAGTATAAATGAAATATTCGATAGTATTGAGCGAATGTTTGCATGAAGGGCATAAATTATGACGAATAATAATATTAATAATAATATTTGTGATAATAAGCAAAGGAAGAAAACTAAGAGGGTTAAGGGGAAGGAGCACTCTTGGTGAGAAGAAGAATCATCAATCGAAGTTCGGCCACGTTAGGAACAGCGTCTGGACGTGTTCTTTTTGGATACAAAGTTCCGGTTTAGTCGATCTTATTGCAGGAGACGTAAGCGAACTGTACGTGATAACGACTTTGGAATTCGGTATATAACCCTGAAAGCTTTGTTGACATCAATATGATGTCCAGTATCAGCCAATTGTGACAGGATCGAGCTTTTTATACACTTAATTTCCCCCTGCTGAACCAAGCTGGCAAATGTTCTCGAACCCGCAGATGAACCTGCCTAATCGTGCGCCCTATATAACTTGAACCACAGGTACAGTTGAAATGGTATATGCATGAAGAAGAGCTAAGGTTAGGTAAGACATCTTGGAGTTGTTGAGTGAACATAGGACGGCTACTGAAGGATAGACACAGACATGCAGAGTTAAATGTATCCGCCGCATAACTGGCCTTTATTGTAACGACAACAAATATTTTATAATTGTATGAACCTGAAGAGAAATTATTGAAAAGAATATTCTTCGTTCAGATTGACTTTTAATTTCAAGCATCTGCCTTGCGGAGTATGTACTTAGACTGAGAGTGTAAGACACGTTGCTAGACGATTCAGACACATCGGATTATTAAGTGAACTAGTAATTGGGGACATGTTTATTTTAGTGTTTAATTAACCATTCAATACTTATTATGCAGTTATTCGTTACGTATGCTTATCTTGCAGCCGAATCAGTGACAGACACAATTTTTCAGGAAAAATTCAACTTTCCAGGCATAAAGAACGTCAGCCAACAGTTGACTTCCCACAAAAACGATTCAGTTCATGCCAGCTGTATTTCTGCAGATCTAAAGGTCAAACCTTCTATTATTTTGATGATTATAGTGACATAATTACAGAACAGTGAGTGTGAAACTGTCTTAGCATTCAGGTTATCTATAACAAGAAGGTGACTAATCAGGTTATCGCATCAAATTGGTCTCTGCTTTATGACCTACTAAAGGGAAAGTCAGGAAAAGCAATAATCAGTAACATTGAAGGCTATACACTAGCAACCGTAGTTATCAGATATTTCACTATTGCACAAAAGAATGTCAGGTTGACGGTATGAAATATATTGCTAAGATATTCAAGTATATTAGAATAGCTGTGCCCAAATTGTAGTACGCTTGTAATGCTGTATCTTGAATGACTTAGTAAAATGTCTTATACAGTCAGCCAGGATGTCATCACTTATCGAGTGTCGGTACTGTGACTTGGTAGCATTTTCCGTAGACACATGTAGCTGGCTGTATTTGCTAGGTTCATCTTTAAAGCTCTCTCCACTCCACTTCCGAAAACTCTAGCAGTCTTTGTGACACTAATCGTGAGACATTTATTATATTTATTTTATTTAAACGCAGAAAAACTTGGTACAATATGGCACCAAGAAAGATGCGCCACACAATATTGTGTGAGGGCTGAGATACTGCCCGGGCGCCCAGACAAAAGCAGGTGGTTTTCCTAAGGGACCACCCCCTGAGCCTTTGACTTGGAGTCTAATCCGCAAGGCAGCGGAGCAGCGTCAGGTGCTGCGTTCCCATGGTTGCCGGTGACCCATATGGGTTCATACACCATTTGATCCGATTGAATTCTGGAGCCCATGTACCCCATGGTAACTGCTTTTAGTCTAACCGCTATCCAAACAACCTTCCTGACATGGTAGGACCTGCAAGGACATGAGTCCCAGCCAGTTTAGCTTGTTGGGTCACTGCGGCATTCAAGCCCGACCACCACGGCAAGGTAGCAGTTATCGGTCGTGAGACAATTTGTTGTCGATTCATTTTTGATCAGTAAATGAATGCTGACGCTTTTAGCTTGACTAATCTATTGTGGAATAAGATAGCTGATGACATAACACAAATTTAATTGGTGGATGGTGAATAGCAGTGGAATCCAGGATGCGCACTTAGTCCTATTTGGAACTGAACTGAACTTGATATGATTATGAGCAATAGTTTATGCTCGAAACGTCATCAGTTAATATTACTGTACAACACTGTGTGATTTATCGAAATAAAATCGTATCCATAATGGAGTTATGCTCTACCACAGTGCCCAAGTTTTATACTTATATCGACTCGTCAACTGGATGTACCTACATTCCCCAGTGAGTGATGATGTTCCCGCCACCAAAGCTCGAACCCAGTGCCCATAGTTTCAAAAGCCAAAGCATTATCCACTAGACCACTTGGGCCACGAGAGCCCCCACCTCTTGTGCAACGAGTCATATTAATTATTTAATTAAATTTTACATTTTCCCGTCGATTGATTGGACTGAAGTACCCGGTCTCAGGTGATAATGATATAACACTTTGAAGGTCCTTAACGGAGATAATGCACTAGAGTATGATTTGATTTCCCACTGGATTTGTTTATTTGACACTCTATACAATTTATTTGAATACAATTCATTGAATGATATATTTTTTCTATCTTATATTATAGAGTCCAATGTGTAAAAATCTTTGTATATCTGTGGATAAAACGCATCGTCAGTCAGTATCATCACCACACTCGACTATTTCTTCAACTATCTCTCCAAATATTATTAACAATAATAATAGTACTAATAATATCAATGCAGCAGTAAACTATGATTCTCAAAGTCCTTACTCTCCTCTGGGTGATGCGGAAAGTGTTCATTCTATTGAAACTGATAGTTGGGTATGGCCGACAACTCTATCAATGAAAAGTGATAAGAATTCCTCGAGTCAATTATTAAGCAATACACTTGATAATGATAATGAAATTATAGCAAAAGATAATTCTCATAAAAATAATTCATGTAAGTATAATTATATGGTACACACACACCCATACATAGACGAGTTTGATCTGGGTAACTGGGTTTTAACTAAATAACTAACTAACTAGCTAACGAATTAACAGGGTAGTTATTGAGATTGAAACGTTAACCTCTGTTGCAGTGAATTTAAACTCCCTAAATTTTCAAAAATGGTGTATTATATTTTTGACGACCAAGTATAAAATAAGTTATTTCAGAAGATGACTACTGTAGCATATGTATTTTTTTCGTTACTGATTCTGATGAACTCCTGGGATAGATGTCACCTTTGATTATTAGATATTATCCCATGAGTGGGGCGATTCGCATTGAATATGCAAAGAGGCCAACCTATTCAGTGTAGTAAAAATGGACTTTTTTAAAAATTCCTTTACGTTCCCCGTGGGACATAGGACTTCAAGCTAGAGGCTTGAAGTTTCAGTAGCAGTGGCGGTCATTTTTTTACGGAATGGGGTTGCTGGTCTCATGCCCAACCTTCTATCTTTACTAGTCTTATTATTGGCTTAGCAAGTTAGAGGAGTGTGTCGACCGGGGGTCGAACCCCAGACCACATGCATGGTTGGCGAGCATTCTACCGCTGTACCACCGACACACAGTAAAAATGGGTAGCAATAAATAATAAACATAAACAAATAGCGGCAAATGATTCATGTTCCACTAAGATGGTTCTTATGTTTGCTTACTCTTATTGAGAGAACCCTTTCGGGTTTGAAACGGTAGGCGCTTAGTTGGACCCTCCCCCTCCTACCACTGACTAGAATACAGACATTTAGCTAACGAGTCTTATATCCCCCTGGTTGTATACTTAACACCATAAATAGCTTCGACAAGTATGCACAGGGTGATCTACATGATTTGTACAGAGCATAGACAAATGCAGGAAAATAACAAATAATAAAAAATTATTATTCTATCTCTGTTAGTATTCACAGGTACTAACTTGTAAACATGTTTATTTCATTGAACTTTGAAAGTACATTCATTATTTGTTTTTTCTAATCATATTTGTTTTATGCTTGTCTGTAGTAAACCAATGTAGTTATTGTTGATGTAATCTTTTTCCTTATTATTATTATATAAGCTCATTCACCAGATAGTATATCCAATAGAACTTTTACTCAGTTACCTGGTATTTCGTCTACTGAATATACAGCTACTAAATTTATGTTCGGTGGAGAAGTTCAAATAGGTTTAACAATAGCACGTTATATTGAAGAAAATTTGAATATTGATGAAACAGCATCATCATCACCATCATCTTATGACTGGCCAGAAGATAATATTTTACAAGATTTACGAAAACGTCGAGCTGATTGTATTGAGAAAATGAAGTGAGTTTATTATAATCTCCTGCATCATAAAGTTTAGTTCAATCAAATCTATCTTCGATAGTCAATATTTTTATGTGGCAAAGTTAAACTTTAAGCGCCACTAACTACCAATCAGCGAATGACCTCGAACGCACCAATCACGTGAAGGAAGCATTTTGTGTATAGAATACATATATTTATGGAGAGAAAAAAATGCACAAAATCTGTATAAAAGTGTTACAGAGAACACCTTTCTCTCACATGTGTGATAAAAGTAGCTCTGTTTTAGGTTGGAATGTCAACAAGTACAGTTCCATTTGGGGTCAAATTTATTTTGATAAAGTTTCATAGTACATATACAGCAATATTTATTGAGCAATAGATTGCTCTGGAAACGTCATCAGTGAATATCACTATGTAACACTGTGAGACTTAATCAAAATAAATTTTACCCACAATGGAATTATACTCCACCGCCACAGTGCACAAGTTCTACTCTTATATCAACAGAGAAATTTAACAACATTCTATGCATGTAATTATTTAGGTCTTCTAACCTTAACAATAACTCTAATCTTTCTTGAACCTAACCCTAACGTGAAAATTTCCCTAAACTAACTGTAATCTAACTCAATCCAACCCCAATGTCGCCTTTATTAGGTTAACCTAACCCTAACCTGTCCTTGGCTAAAACTCTAACTAGCTAATCTTTCCCAAACATAAGCCGAAACTTTCTAGATATCCCATTTGACAATAACATAACACTTCGATGAGTATATTTTATTGACGATGACAACATTATTTACCAGGTTTCACTAATTTGCTCAGTTAGCGTTTCAAGGACATTAGTGCGGTCGCAATCCATTGGTGGTAGTCAGTGGTGCTTAAAGTTTAACTTGGCCTTTATCAATTTTAAGTCACATTAAAAACCAGGTGTTTCATTCTTGTCTGAAAACACCTCAACAGTAAAAACACCTATGTACAGTCGATATCATGAACACCAAGTTTAACTCAATATCTAGGTCGGAATCGAACTTCTACACACAAGTTATTCCCTGTAATCAGTGAGTAGCCGTTCTCATAATCGTCTCGGTGAACCCAATTGGCGGCAACTTCTCATGATTACTGTGAAAACCTCATCCTGAAGCAATATTTACGTTTTTTTAATCTGCTGATCTTGATATCAATTTCTACGAAGGCCAAATAGTTGTACTCGTACTTCCCAGTGACCAGTAAAATTACTGGAATTAATTGAGAAACAAGTAGCACATTTTTAATTTGTATAAAATACCGATTACCTTAGTACTACTTCTGAGTAATTATTGTTTAAGTATTGGTTTGTAGGGATTTGGTCGATTGGTTAGAAGATTTCATCATGAGCTGACATTGGTTACAGAACCACTGGACAGCTGTTTCGTCCTAGTTCGTGACTCTTCAGTAGTACGCACCCACCGGGGTTCGAACAGAAGTTAGAATTCATGGGCCATTGGATCGGGTCCCGGTGGCTTAATGGTATACGAGCTCGCCTTGTAACCAGAAGGTCCTGGGTTCGAACCCCATCGGGTGCGTACTGGTGAAGAGTCCCGAACTAGGATGAAACAGCTGTCCAGTACTCCCAGGTTTTCCAATGGTTCTCTAACCAATGTCAGCTCATGATGAAATCCTCTGACCAATTATTGTGTAATTAAGAAATAATATTGTTGTTCCCTAGTCTATCGTCAACTGGAAAAAAAAATGCAGCATTAGAGTGCAGTATGTTGAGCAAATTAAATGCCATACTCATAAAGTTATGGAAATTATACTTTCTAACTAACTCCAATGTTTTAATTGAACATTGTGGAGTACAATAGTTGAAAGAGTTGGGAACTGAATAGTACTAGTAGTAGAAGTCGTCGTGTTGTGATTTGACTATTTCATATAAATGAAAATATTCTAAGAACTAATATCAACTCATAACTGCTGGGAACTGGACAACTGATTTATCCTTATGTAAGATTCCCCCGACAGCACTCACCTATGATGCCACAGGGATTCAAAATCCACCGATCAATGATTTCTTATTTCCATGATATCATTTCATTTCTATACCTTAAAGCACCTTCACTCTCATTCAAGTTAGCCACCTTCTCATCGGTTGAGACTTTCCATAGGATCTAGAAATCCAACTCATAACTAGTTGCTGGTGAGCACTGGTGAAATGATATTATAATTTGCATAACTAATAACTTTTGAATACGGAGTGAATGCATTTAAATACAATCTAGATTTATTCGAATTAATAACCACTAGTTTTCTTTAAACACCAATAACTTGTTAATTCAATCTTGTATTTAATAGTGAATTTGCTTAATTTTTACGTTGGTTTGTTTTATCACACTTTTCTTATGACTTCTCATCTACTTAATTTACAGTATGCGGTGAAGTTAAGTCATATGGTATTTACATTCCTTCTATACTATTACAGGTTAATCATGAAACAAATTCACGAGCGAGAAAAGGAACTGATAAATAATAACTCAGCGTATCCTGAATAGTTTTTGCTTTTTTTGGTTTTTGCTTTTGTTTTTAGAAATTATACTCAAATGTTTTAATATGATCACCGTTTACTTCTCTTGTGATATATCCTACTTCCCATTGTATACAATAACATATTATAAATATACTTTTTTATCATAATCTTCTCTTCATGTTAATTCGGAAGTTTATTATCATGTGTACTCACTGTGAATTATACTATTTTAACAGTCTTCTGCATAACTGTTTCACCCTACAGTTAGTAGGCTGGTATGTACGTACACATAATTTAGTCAACTTGATAGTTTTTTATTGATATAAGTATAAAACTTGGGCACTGTGATGGTAGAGTATAACTCCATTAGGGATAGGATTTTATTTTGATAAGTCACACAGTGTTACACAGTAATATTTATTAACGGATGACGTTTCGAGCACAAATTATTCATTACTGCTCATAATCATATCAAGATACTCACACAACTTTTTCCCTTCATTTATATACATGTGTAGAATTGATGATTAGATATTTGTAGGCTTAAAGACCCAGTGGACCCAACTAAACAAAATAATATAATTTATAAAATACCCTGCAATGACTGTGAGGTCAACTACATAGGTCAAACTAGTAGGTCAGGGGTAGTCAGATTGTCAGAACATAAGAATTTAGCTAAGGTAAGACTGCTTGACCTCGAGAAGATAATTAATTTAGAAAAAAGCTCAGCAATTGCAATGCATGCATTAACAGACAACCACACAAAAGGGTTGGTAGTGATATTTTCCATATTTCGGGTATGAGTGATGAATCATTCCTATTGCATGTGTTGGGTGTAGATTCGATGAACAAGGATTCACTAATCAATCTCTCTCTCTCCATCTACCTAGATTACTTTTTAGAATTTTGACCCTCTCCCACCCTTTTGTGTGGTTGTCTGTTAATGCATGCATTGCAATTGCTGAGCTTTTTTCTAAATTAATTATCTTCTCGAGGTCAAGCAGTCTTACCTTAGCTAAATTCTTATGTTCTGACAATCTGACTACCCCTGACCTACTAGTTTGACCTATGTAGTTGACCTCACAGTCATTGCAGGGTATTTTGTAAATTATATTATTTTGTCTAATTGGATCCACTGGGTCCTTTAACCTACAGAGCTTGTCCCTGAGTGTGTTTGTAGGTTTAAATGCCACTCTAATTCCTGCTTTACTAAGAATCCTACGTAGGGTCTCAGATGTCCCCTCTTTATATGGTATTACAGTGGATGACTTATATTCTCGAAATATACCCATTAAGACATTGAAATAAGAACAATGTCTTAATGGGTATATTTCGAGAATTAAAAATAAGCAAGGACCCTCTGACAGTGAAGGAACTGAATGGGTTTCTGCGCTTTTCTGTCAAGCTTGCTGAAGTTAATGCGAAGACTTATATTCTCTCTTATTTATATTATTATTACTAGTTTCACAATTCTTTTTATTTTTCTTTTGGTCTTTTTTAATCTTCCTAATGAAATTTTAGGGATAGTTATTTAACACCAGCGCCTCTTCTATCTGTTTTATTTCATCATTTAGGTCCTTTTTGTGCTACTTAGTGCCATTGCTCGGTTTGTTAAACACTTAACTAAGTCTGCCTTAACAGTTAAAGGATGAGATGAATTAAAGTCTAAATATCTATTAGAATGCGTTGGTTCTCTATAAACACTAGTGTGTAGTTTGCCTTCTTCTATTCGTTTTATTTTACAATCTAATATCGAATCTACACCCAACAAATGCAATAGGAATGATTCATCACTCATACCCGAAATATGGAAAATATTACTACCAATCAACTCAAGTGAAAAACAATGGAACTATATAAATGAATTTAGGAAGTCGTGTGATTACCTTGATATGATTATGAGCAATAAATTGTGCTCGAAACGTCATCAGTAAATGTTACTGTATAACACTGTGAGACTTTATCAAAAGAAAATTTACCCATAATGGAATTGCACTCTACCACAGTGCACAAGTTTTATTCTTATATAAATTTGTAATGTAAGCTTTTTAGGTTAGAGCCATTGAAGTAGCCTGGGTTAATGGTTGTTGAGCTCAATTGAGGTAATACTTTAATTGTTTTACTTCCTTCTTCTATTTTTATGATTCTTATCACAACGCTGCAGCTTTTAGCGTTTGGTAGTTTCAAGCTTACCTGTGAAGCGTACCAGTTTACTGATGTTATTCCTCTGTGTTCATACAGAGTATTTGATGACATAAGAAGTCAGCTTGTGAGATTGATGAAAGAACAAGGGAAAAACCATGTCATTAAATCATAAACGTGACAAATGTGAAAAAGAAAAGGAATCAACTTTTTGTTTCAAGTAAAAATCGTCTTACTGCATGATTCCTTCTACAAGGATTTTTTGTGTGTGTTTTACATAGAAGGGTATTAGTGAAATATTTTGATTGACTTCTGTACTTGACAGTTACACTAGCACTTCACATGTATTTGATCCTGAGATAGTGATTGATTATTTAGTGGTACGTTTAATAATTAACTACATCGACAATAATACGCGTCATAGCGCATGGGCAAATGACGATTAGACACTTCCTCTGTCTGATAACCATCTACATTCGATGAACCGTCTACCTTAACCGCCCACAAACAAATTAACGATGAATTGCAGAAAGAATCGACTGAACTTTCTTAATCTTTGCATGGGAGGAAATAATGTTACAACAGGACAAAAGCATTGACTGTAGAAGTATACGCAGCTATCATTATCTGAGCTTAATTCGTTTTCAGTTAGCTAAAGGAGGTTCAATGAGAACACAGCAATAAAGGTTGTACTCTTTGAAGCTATGTATATCGCGTGAGTATATCGAAAAACCAAAGAGATAGATAACTGCTTTTACTCTTGACCATTCATCATGGGGACTAAAGGGTTATGTTTTCTTCAAAAGCGTAATATACCGTCAGAATGTCAGACAGAGAACATCATAATCAATAGGAAGACTTTCAATACACTTCTATATGTAATTCCATATAAGTTTGTTTATTAGATGTAACACACAGTGAAACAGTATTATTTACTGGATGACCTTAAGAACAAAATTTATTGTTCATAATCATCTCATCAATTATCATCACACGACTTTGACACTTGAGTTTTATAGTTTTCTTTGTTCTCTCCTATTTGTCGTTTGGGTAGTAGAATTTTCCAGATATCGGGGACTCGAAGGTGGAAGCAATTCAATTCACTTATGAATTGGAAAATCAGGAAGGGGAGTTCCCAATGTTAGATTGCAACGTAAAGAGGAAAGAAGATGGGAAGTTAAACACTAGTGTTTACAGGAAACCCACACACTCAAACAGATATTTAGACTTCCGATCGTCCCATCCTATGTCAGTAAAAATAGGATTGGTGAAATGTTTAAATGACAGAGCACAAAAACTAAGTAGTACCAAAGAAAATCTCAGACAGGAACTGATACACATAAAAGAAGTCTTGAAACTTAATAAATCCCCGGATAAATTAGTCAAGAAATATGTAAGGAAATGTAAAAATAAAATAAATAATGATAGTAGCGATAGTGATAATAACAATAATAAGGATTATAATAATATTAATGACGACACCAATAATAAGGAATCTAAATCATCAGTAGTAATTCCATACAAGGAAGGAACCTCGGAAGCCTTACTAAGAATTCTTAACACGGCAGGAATAAAAATGGCATTCAAACCCACAAACTCAATTAGAAACAAGCCTTGTCGGTTAAAGGATCAGTCCTGTGGAGCCTTTAAAACAAAACAATTTAGTTTATCTAATACCCTGCAATGATTGTCAGGTCAAATACATAGGTCAAACTAGTAGAACAGGGGCAGTCAGACTAGCTGAACATAAAAACCTAGCAAAATCTAGATTGGTTGACCCGAATAAAATAAGAAATCTAGAGAATAGTTCAGCTATAGCACTACATGCAGTTACACACAACCATACAATAGGATGGGATAGGATGAAAGTTTTAAAATCTAATGTCACAGAGTGGAGGGAGAGATTGATAGCAGAAGCTTCGTTTATCGAATCAACTGAAAACCAACACGTGTAATAGGAATGATTCATCACCTGTCCCCGATATCTGGAAAATTCTACTACCCAAACGACAAATAGGAGAGAACAAAGAAAACTATAAAACTCAAGTGTCAAAGTCGTGTGATCACAATTGATATGATTATGAACAATAAATTTTGTTCGAAACGTCATCCAGTAAATAATACTGTTTCACTGTGTGATATATCAAATAAACAAACTAATATGGAATTACTTACTACCACAGTGCCCAAGTTTTACACATATATTAACACTTCTATATGCTTACGACATGACCTGACCATCAACTGAATGCAACTTGTGCTTCATCTCTAACTTCTCTCTGAAGAAAATAATCACCCTTCATTAAGTATTTGTATTTTCTTCAACGTAACTCTGTTACATTGTCATTGTGTCACCATATATTCTCACAACAACTGTTGCATTGTAACCAGTTACTTCGCACACGCATCACTTGAATGTACACAACTTCTCAAACATTTTTAATCGTATTTACATTCATCTTGCATATTCAAAGTCATAAATCCCTCTTTCTTAAAACCTATACGTAGTTTTTGATAGGATATGTGTGCATAAAATCTACATTATTTTGTTCTCAATTTTGTATTTACAACACGACAACAGCCTATGTGTGTAACAATAGAAGACAAGGGCCAGGCAACAGATCGTTTATTAAGGAAATCAAAGCATATTTATATATTTTCATGTACATTATTATAGTTTAGTTAAGCAAACAAACACAGTATTCTGATTGGTTGTTTCTCACTTAAAGTTAATCCTTCATCTCTTTGTGACTGTATCTTGAATGTCAGATCCTCTATATGTTAACTGTATCCGCCTACGCAAAGTCTGCTGTGGTCGGTTTTGAATCAGCCTTTGTTCATATATTCTAACGACAAATCTTGAGGACGTATATATTGACGTAA